GGGAACGAAACGAGACAGGTCATCTGCCAAGACGTTGGACACTCCCCGCACGTGAACTGCCAGGAGAGCCCAACCCGAAGAACGCAGCAGACGAGTCACCCGAAGCGACCAGTGCCAAAGAGCCAAGGACCGCATCAAACCCTATCCCGGTTCAAACCATGAACCACAGGGGAGCAATCCGAATGGAGCAGGATTGTCGACCCACGGGTGAACTGAACCCTCCGAAGAGCAAACCACACAGCTGAGAACTCCCGCACCGTGCTGTGGGCTCGACGGAAGGACGGACCCCACCGCCCCTGGCCGGCCTGGTAAGCAATGGTCACAAAGCCACAGCCGAGAGACAACGTGTCCGTGAACACATCGAGCGAGGGCTCGGGTAGGCGCCAAGGCACTGAACCCCGAAAAACCTAAAGAGGGCACCGGCGACGCAGCAGCTGACACAAGGCCCCCGGGGTCCGAACCCAACAATTGCGAGAGAGGTGGAAGGGACGTTCCCGAAGGAACCAGAACAGCCGATGAAGCCAATCCAACCCGGCGGGTAGACCAACATCGCGAAGTTCAGGCTCCCGCACAGACCCTCAAGCAACCGCCGGGTGACCCCAAGAAACAGGCACAAGTGGGACCGAAGCCGCAGGAGAGACTCCGGAGGGACAGACAAGGAAGCGGTCCAAGAATCCCACACAAGGCCCAGCCATGTCAGAACCTGGGAGGAAACCAGATGGGACTTCCTCCAATTCATCAAGAACCTCAACCCTATGAGCTGGGAAAGCACCAAATCCCTGGCTAGCAGACAACTGGACAGGCTGGGAGCCCAAACCAACCAGTCGTTGAGGTAGGCCAACACCCGAACACCTAAGAGATGCAGACGGGCCACAACGACCTGCGTAAGGCGTGTGAACACACGAGGTGCCAGGTTCAACCCGAATGGGAGACAACGAAAGCGGTAACCCTGATGCCCCACAACAAAACCGAGCCACTCCCTGAACCCCGGAAAAATCAGGACGTGCCAATAAGCATCCCAGAGGTCCAAGGACACCATCCATGCATCCGACTCCAACAGGAGACGAACCTGGGACAGCATGGTCATCCAAAAAGAGGGGCAATGAACCCAGGGGTTCAGATGAGACAAGTCCAGAATGAACTTCAGGTCCACACAGTCCCGTTTCGGTACTGGGAACATACAGGAAACCCATCTGAGAGACGTTGTCGTTTCAACCACTCCCAAGCGAACCCACTCCAAGATGACCCGACAGAGCACAGGGGAAGAGGCCTGCCCCGCCAGACCCGAACCTTCCGAAGGAGGAGGGGCACCCAACGCCACCGCAGGCCGAGATAAACGACTAGAAACACCCACAAATCATGTGACCAAGTGCGAGCGAACAGCGCAAGCCTCCCCCCCCAACCCATTTGCCCCGTCAATGGGGCGAACCGCAAAAAAGCCGCCACCCCTTACGAGACCCAGAACATCACATAAAGCAACCACCGCACAGATCAGACGAAGGCTGGACCGAAGGCAGGATCGAAGGCGAGGTTGAACCCGAACCTGGCACCAGTGGCCTACCACGACGAGAGGAACACCGAGTCCTGGCACGACCCCTCCGGGAAGGGCCACCCCCCAGACCCCCGGAGAAGCAACAAGTCAGACGTAGGCCGACAAGTAGCCGAAGCAGCCTGAATATACTGCGTCACGGCAGAATCCTCAAAAAGCAGAGGACAAAAAGGTGAAGACATCCTAAAAGCCAGGGCCCAGGCCGATTCCAGGGAGGAGGATTCTGCCGAAGCAGCCTGAATATACTGCGCCACGGCAGAATCCTCAAAAAGCAGAGGACAAAAAGGTGAAGACATCCTAAAAGTCAGGGCCCAGGCCGATTCCAGGGAAGACGCAAGCACCGCCTCCCGAGACGTGAGCCGGGAAGCATAGAACAGGAAAACCGCATCCTGCAGGATCGGCGCAAACAACATCAGCAAGGCAGCCGACAAGCGGGCCGCCGAGCCCAAGGCACCGGAACCAGGGAAAGCCCCAAGCGCACCCACATCCTCCGCAAGCCAGTCCAAAGACAGCTCCAGGAGGGAAAAAAGATGCATTCCGAAACCAAACAGCAAAGGGCGTGCAAGTCCTCAGCAACCTACGCAGTCAAGAGGAAGGGAACCTGTACATGGAGCTGCACCACACCCACATCCCAGGGAAGGGCAGGGGCAAACAAGCACTCATGAAGGTGCTTCAGGTCGCCCCCAGGAAAACCTGAACTACCATCGCAGCCTCGCTCCACTCAAGCATGCAGGAACGGCAGAAAGAATGCCAAGCCTCCAAGGCAAAGACAGGACAGTTCGCCAGCCAGGACGAATCCAGAACCTCGTAACGGACCCAGAAAGGGAATGAAGATCCAAACCTGAACGAAGAAGGATCCATCACCGAGGCATAATCCAGGTCACGGGCAAGAGCTACGAGGAGAGGTTAGAAGCATTAAATATGCCAAAACTAGAAGACAGAAGAAAAAGAGGTGATATGATCACTACGTACAAAATAGTAACAGGAATTGATAAAATCGACAGGGAAGACTTCCTGAGACCTGGAACTTCAAGAACAAGAGGCCATAGATTTAAACTAGCTAAACACAGATGCCGAAGAAATATAAGAAAATTCACCTTCGCAAATAGAGTGGTAGACGGTTGGAACAAGTTAAGTGAGAAGGTGGTGGAGGCCAAGACCGTCAGTAGTTTCAAAGCGTTATATGACAAAGAGTGCTGGGAAGACGGGACACCACGAGCGTAGCTCTCATCCTGTAACTACACTTAGGTAATTACACTTAGGTAATTACAGGATGTAAGCCGCTAGAGCTGCCCGCACCGCAGGAGGTTGGATGCGAGAAGCCGAAAACCTCCGGAAGGACGGAACGACCGAACCCGGGGAGGGGTAGACACCAAATCCAATTCGTACGCAGAGGGTTATCTTGAGATGATTTCGGGGCTTTTAGTGTCCCCGCAGCCCGGTCCTCGACCAGGCCTCCACCCCCAGGAAGCAGCCCATGACAGCTGACTAACACCCAGGTACCTATTTTACTGCTAGGTAACAGGGGCATAGGGTGAAAGAAACTCTGCCCATTGTTTCTCACCGGCGCCCAGGATCGAACCTGGGACCACAGGATCACAAGTTCAGCGTGCTGTCCGCTCGGCCGACCAGCTCCCAGGGGAAAAAGAGAACCCCCACCCCTTGTAACAACAAGCCCCGCTCAGAGGGCACCCAGACGGGATCCAGTAGGGCCCAAGGCCCCCAAGTCAGCCCCTCCCCCGCCCCGGGATCCTCCTCTGCAGGACCCCAGGGCTGAGTCATCTCCCAAGGCAACGGCCTCAAAAGACAAGGCCGGCGCGGCCGCGTAAGCCGAACAGAAGGGGGGTCCACTGGTCAGACCCTGTGGCTTCAGCAGGGAGACTAGACTCGAATGCCTCCGTCACCACACCAGAAAGACCATCTAAACCCTGCTCCGGTTCCGAAACCCTCAGACATTTCGGGGCTGGAAGCATGGGGGGGGGGGAGGACGAAGGACGGGGAAGGACGAGGGGGGTGGACTGAACCAAGTTCGAAGCGACCCCCACCCTCAAGTCCGGGTCCCTATAAGCAAAACGGGGCAGCCTCGGGGCATCCGGGTGAGCAGCCAACGAAGCACGTTGCAATAACCTAAAACGCGCATGCAATGCCTGCGCCGCCTGTTCCCTCATAAGATCATCACTAGACTGGGCAAATTGAGTCACGTGCAAGGAGCAGAACTCACAGGACTCAGGATCGAAAGTGTCACCGACTCAACAGGCAGCGTGATGGAGGCAAAAACACTGAGGGTCACCCTGAGACAAGGGAACAAAACAACCCTCAAACTCACACGAAGCGATGGGGTACTCAAGGGTCACATCCATCAAACCCCAGTACCCTCCTTAGGTTTTCCAGGGCCCTGAGCTTAACGAGACTCACGCCCAGGTAACCCCAGGCAGGGTACTGCTAACCGGCGCCCAAAACTACCAAGCAAACACACTAAAGCTGCAACCCAGGGACGTGTACACTCACGAGGACCTAGCAGGGGGCACCACTAGAGAATTGTAAGAAGTCAAGTGGGCAATAAGCAGGGCAGATCCCCCCCCCCCCCCCCCCCCGCAAGGCAAAAACAAAAACAAAAAGAAAGCCCTGCAAGAGGACAGCGTACCCTAGAGGACCAGAACCGGTCGCTATAATAGGTGTAAATAAGCTGCGCAGCACCCCACGCCCCCAACCAGTGCAAACTGCCTCTTACCCTAAGGCAAACAAGGGAGACAAAACACCCAAGTACCCAAAGGGTAGCCGAAAAACCGAACAGTAAAATGGACCAGCAGAGGCAGGACCCAAAGAACTTGTGGAAGGTAACCCCGAGCTCCAAGGGCAGTATTTACAGGGCACCTAGGAAAGGGAACCCTAGGCGCATGCAGCCCGAGTACTGGAGAATAACTCCTGGCTCTCACACCCCTAGAAGACAGCCACCACACTCAAAGCACCGTACCAAAATAATGTCTGGAGCCAAAGCACACAACTGGAGCCTCTAGCATCAGCTTAAGAACTGACAGGTGGATAGCCGGTGTAGGGGGTCTGGGGCTTCCCCTTCCCCCTCCCGGGGAGGGGGGAGCTGCGCAGACAGTGGCACGGCAAAGTGTGACGTCATGCTCGTTTGCTCGTTTTCTTTTAGGGGAGTTCTTTCCACTTGTTCAGTTTTTGGTAGCAATATTTTCATCAGAATAGGGGTTTGTATTGGGATGCTTACCTTTCTGGGTGCCTGACCCGGTCGATGGCAGACATAGAATGCTTCCAACCACACGGGTTTCTGTAAGCCATTGCTCCCCATGCCTCTCTGAGGGGGCCCAAAGAACTCCATACACATGACTGATGTCAAAGTCTGACATTAGCATATCAGCCTAGTAAGCTCCGAGGAGCCGAAGGGGCTCCCCCCAGAAAATATATATTTAAAATCTTTTAGGCATACCTGAAAACTTTTGTTGCTGTCAATCCAGAATGACTTTTGAAATAAAAACCAGGGTTTCCTCTTGGTTCCATATTCACCTGAAAAATAAAATATCCAAAATTATAATACACTGTGTCTTTGCTTAAACAAAGTATGTGGGCAAGGCAAATTCTTTCCATCTACCCATCAGCCCCCCAGGCTACCCCTCCCCCCCAAGAAGTAAACAAATAAAAACAAATATGGCCTATATCCACTATAATGCATATAAAGGTTTCTTATTGACCTTATCAGGACAGTAGAACATAAGAACATAAGAATGAAGCTAACTGCAGAAGGCCTAATTGGCTCATACGAGGTAGCTCCTATTTATATCCACCCAATATCATTCATATATATGTCTAACCTACATTTGAAACAATCAAAGGACCCTACTTCTATTATGAAATGAGGTAATTGGTTCCACAAATCAACAATCCTGTTATGAAACCAGTATTTACCCAGGTCTCTCTCTAAACTTATCTAATTTCTGTGGGGAGCCTTTACGGCTCCCTGGAGCTTATCAGGCTAATGTATGTTATATTAGACCGGGACATTAGCTAAGGAGTTCAGACCTACCAGGGACCAGCACCAGAACCTGGCCCCTTCAGAGAGGTTTCAGGGAGCTATGGCCCTGGAAAACCCCCTTGTGGTTGTTGTTTTTTTTATCTGCCATCGACCGGGGTTAGGCACCCAGAAAGGTAGGCATAACAAAACAAACCCCACATCGTAAAAAACTAAAACAAAAAACTGAACAGAGAGGTAGAAACTCCCTACAATCCCAAGGAAATGAGCAAACAAGCAAACATCACACTTTACTGCTGTGCCGATCGTCCGTGCAGCCCTCCAACCCCCCCCCCCCCCGAGAGGGGAATGGGGGAGCCCCGGACCGACCGCGCCGGCTGCCAAGCTTCAGTTCGTAAGCTAATGTCAACCGGGATAGACGCTTCTCTGGCCTCATTTTCCTAGGTGGTGTTTGCCTTGTGTGGCGTTCACTGCCGTGTGTTGTGTTGTGTGGTGGCCAGTACCACCTCATCAGTGCAGGGGCTGTATGTGCTTAGTGGCTGACTTCCCTAAGCGCCCTGTGAGTACTGCCCCTGCATAACAGGGTTATCTTCCCTGAGGCGTTCGGGAACCATTCCCGTAGAGGTTCTTGCTGCTCGGCATTTGACTCGCCCTTGGGGCCAGCTGGGGCTTGGGGCCCTTGTTGGGCCCTAGGTAGGGACTGGTATTGTGCTGGTTAGGGCGTCGAGGTGTTGCGCAGCCTGCCACCTAAACGGCGACCAGTTCTTGTTGCCTCTGGAGATGGTGTACTTTTGCGGGGGGTTTCTTTTGTTTTTATTTTTATGCCTGGTGGGGGTCTGCCTAGTGTGGCTATAGTTCAACTGGTAGTGTTTGGTGGCCCTCTGCTGGGCCCCCGTGATTGTACACGTCGCAGGGGTTTTCAGTGCTATCCTCTACCTCTTGTTATTTTGGGTTTCTTAACTGGTTAGCAACACCTTGCCCGGGCTTCCCGTAGCAGTCAGCCTATGGACCCTGGAAACCCCTGTCTGGGCTCGGTAGACCATTGAATGTGTCTTCTGGGTTGCAACCCATCTTGTACGGGATCGTTGGTTGCTGTTCCCTTGTCTCCGGGTGACAGTCGCCACTTTTACCTCCGTCATGCTGCCTGTTGGGTCACTGACACCTTGACCCAGAGTCTTGCGAGAGATTCTCTGCTTGTTCTCCAGTACTCTCCTGATGTTATTACTGTTCAGAGTACAGGCGGCATCCATGTTGCAAGCTAGGTTAGGTAGCTGCAACATGCTAGGTTGGTTTCCCACTCGGATGCCCTGAGGCCGCCCCGTTTTGGTTAAGTGCTGTTTGCCCCTTTCCCTCCCTGTTCCCGGCTCCTGACCGTCTGCGGGTTTCGGGGTCGGGGCGGGGTTTTGTTGGGGTCGAGATTCGGGCGGTTTTCGGGGGCTGCCCAGTTTGAGTTTTGGGACGGAGGTTTTCAAGCCTGTTCCTCCTGCCAAGGTTTCTGGATCTTACCAGCGGCCCTTTCTTGCTGCCTTTCCCATGGACTCTTCCTTTTCTTTAAGGACGGAGGGCTTGGAGGACGGCTCTGCCCCGGGGCCTCTGTTGCTGGTTTCCGGGGCTGTGGGGGATGGCTGCTAGCAGTTCTGGGGCGGTTTGCCCTTGCCTGGGTTTTCTGCTTTTGGGCGGAGTTTTTCGCCCATCCAGTCTGCTTGCTTCCCACTTTTGCTGGCATGTTTTTGTATCTTTAGCGTCGGTCACAGCCCTCCGTTCTGAAGGCCATTTTCTTCTGCCGGTTTCCCGGCGGTGCCACCAGGGCGGCATTGCGGTTTGTTTACATGCGCCTGGGTGTGCGAGCGAGCTTCTTGGGTGAGTTTTCACCTTTTTTCAGGGGTTTTATTCTCCTATTGTCGTTTCTTTGCTTTTCTGGTGTTTTCTGCCCGTTTCCTGTTCCTCTGGGAACGTTTGGGTGTTGATTTTACACAAGGTTTTCCCATTTTGTCTGTTTTGGGTCTGGGCCCTAGGGTTTGGGCTCAGAGTCCCTGGCTGTTATGCTTGCTCCCACACCTTGTCCCTCGGTTTTCGGTCTGTTATGACAGTTTCCCTGGGGATTCTGTCTGGGGGCTGTGCTTTGCCTTTCTGTGGTGTTTCTCCGCTAGAAAATGTGGTGGTTTGGGCTCCCCCTGGTTCGATTCCGGGTTCCATTGGGTTCTTTGGTTTCGTTCCGGAGGTTTCTTCCTCTTGGGCCCCCTTTGTGGGTTCAGGGGGCTTTGTTTCCTCGTGTGTGACCCGGTTCTGCCATCTGGAGTTCTGGGATCTTCCTGGCTTGCAGACTGATCTTTTTGGGTCTTGGCACATGTTGTGGTCGTGCTGGGATTTTGTGGTTTTGTTGTCGAGGTGGGCCTTTTGATGCAGTTTTGTGCCTTCTTTGCCTGGCCATCGTGGTGCTCTCTGCCCACTGGTCGGCGGCTTGTACTTTTCTTTTGAAGTGTACTCACCTAGTTGTGTTTGCGGGGGTTGAGCTCTGGCTCTTTGGTCCCGCCTCTCAACCGTCAATCAACAGGTGTACAGATTCCTGAGCCTATCGGGCTCTGTCATATCTACACTTGAAACTGTGTATGGAGTCAGCCTCCACCACATCACCCCCTAATGCATTCCATTTGTCAACCACTCTGACACTAAAAAAGTTCTTTCTAATATCTCTGTGGCTCATTTGGGCACTCAGTTTCCACCTGTGTCCCCTTGTGTGTGTTCCCCTTGTGTTAAATAGACTGTCTTTATCTACCCTATCAATCCCCTTCAGAATCTTGAATGTGGTGATCATGTCCCCCCCTAACTCTTCTGTCTTCCAGCGAAGTGAGGTTTAATTCCCGTAGTCTCTCCTCGTAGCTCATACCTCTCAGCTCAGGTACTAGTCTGGTGGCAAACCTTTGAACCTTTTCCAGTTTAGTCTTATCCTTGACTAGATATGGACTCCATGCTGGGGCTGCATACTCCAGGATTGGCCTGACATATGTGGTATACAAAGTTTTGAATGATTCTTTACACAAGTTTCTGAATGCCGTTCGTATGTTGGCCAGCCTGGCATATGCTGCTGATGTTATCCGCTTGATATGTGCTGCAGGAGACAGGTCTGGCGTGATATCAACCCCCAAGTCTTTTTCCTTCTCTGACTCCTGAAGAATTTCCTCTCCCAGATGATACCTTGTATCTGGCCTCCTGCTCCCTATACCTATCTTCATTACATTACATTTCGTTGGGTTAAACTCTAACAACCATTTGTTCGACCATTCCTTCAGCTTGTCTAGGTCTTCTTGAAGCCTCAAACAGTCCTCTTCTGTTTTAATCCTTCTCATAATTTTAGCATCGTCCGCAAACATTGAGAGAAATGAATCGATACCCTCCGGGAGATCATTTACATATATCAGAAACAAGATAGGACCGAGTACAGAGCCCTGTGGGACTCCACTGGTGACTTCACGCCAATCGGAGGTCTCACCCCTCACCGTAACTCTCTGCTTCCTATTGCTTAGATACTCCCTTATCCACTGGAGCACCTTACCAGCTACAGCTGCCTGTCTCTCCAGCTTATGTACCAGCCTCTTATGCGGTACTGTGTCAAAGGCTTTCCGACAATCCAAGAAAATACAGTCCGCCCAGCCCTCTCTTTCTTGCTTAATCTGTGTCACCTGATCGTAGAATTCTATCAAGCCTGTAAGGCAAGATTTACCCTCCCTGAATCCATGTTGGCGATTTGTCACGAAGTCCCTTCTCTCCAGATGTGTTACCAGGTTTTTTCTCACGATCTTCTCCATCACCTTGCATGGTATACAAGTCAAGGACACTGGCCTGTAGTTCAGTGCCTCTTGTCTGTTGCCCTTTTTGTATATTGGGACCACATTCGCCGTCTTCCATATTTCTGGTAGGTCTCCCGTCTCTAGTGACTTACTATACACTATGGAGAGTGGCAAGCAAAGTGCCTCTGCACACTCTTTCAGTACCCATGGTGAGATCCCATCTGGACCAACAGCCTTTCTAACATCCAGATCCAGCAGGTGTCTCTTGACCTCCTCTCTCGTAATTTCGAACTCCTCCAAAGCCGCCTGGTTTACCTCCCTTTCTCCTAGCACAGTGACCTCACCCTGTTCTATTGTGAAGACCTCCTGGAACCTCTTGTTGAGTTCCTCACACACCTCTCTGTCATTCTCTGTATACCTGTCCTCGCCTGTTCTAAGTTTCAATACCTGTTCTTTCACTGTTGTTTTCCTTCTGATGTGACTGTGGAGTAGCTTTGGTTCAGTCTTGGCTTTGTTTGCTATATCATTTTCAAAATTTTTCTCTGCTTCTCTTCTCACCCTGACGTACTCATTCCTGGTTCTCTGGTATCTTTCTCTGCTTTCTGGTGTTCTGTTATTCCGGAAGTTCCTCCACGCCTTTTTGTTCAGTTTCTTCGCTTCGATACATGCCCTATTATACCATGGATTCTTCTGTTGCTTCTCGGATTTTTCCCTTTGGGCCGGGATGAACCTGTTTACTGCCTCCTGAC